TAGGATTTCAGACGACACGTTAGGCACTTTTTTGGCGTGGTTCTGGCACTCGCTCGTCCTTCAGAGCCCTGGTGTTTTCCCCCCCGGCAGGTGATTTTTTCGAACCTGTTTTACTTGCTAGCAGTCCGCCAGTCAACAGAATCTATCGATTAAAAATTTGCGTTTTTCCCAAGCCAAGACGCAAGCAGAGCAGCAGCAGTAAGCGCAACGGCAGCAGTTGCAGCAGCTAGCAGCACGAAAAATGTGTTTTTCTGATGGCAAAATGGGTGTCAAGAACGTGGGCAAGAGCACGCAAAAGGTGCACATAGCCAGTAGCTAGCAGCCAGCGCCAGTAGCAGCCAGCGGCCAGTAGCCAGCAGCGTACCAAAAAATCTAGATTTTTCTAGGATTTCAGACGACACGTTAGGGACTTTTTTGGCGTGGTTCTGGCACTCGCTCGTCCTTCAGAGCCCTGGTGTTTTCCCCCCCCGGCAGGTGATTTTTTCGAACCTGTTTTACTGCTAGCAGCCGCCAGCAACAGAATCTATCGAAAAATTGTGTTTTTCTAGGGTGTCAGACGACACGTTAGGCACTTCTATATATCTTGTATATATTTCTATAAGGTTACAAACGTGACGTTTGGCAGTTTTCTCGTTTATATAGCACCAATGGGTGTCAAGAACATGGGCAAGAGCACGCAAAAGGTGCACATAGCCAGTAGCTAGCAGCCAGCGCCAGTAGCAGCCAAGAGCCAGTAGCCAGCAGCCTACCAAAAATCTAGATTTTTCTAGGATTTCAGACGACACGTTAGGCACTTTTTTGGCGTGGTTCTGGCACTCGCTCGTCCTTCAGAGCCCTGGTGTTTTCCCCCCCGGCAGGGGATTTTTTCGAACCTGTTTTACTGCTAGCAGCCTCCAGCAACAGAATCTGTCGAAAAATTGTGTTTTTCTAGGATGTCAGACGACACGTTAGGCACTTCTATATATCTTGTATATATGTCTATAGGGTTTCAGACGTCACGTTTTGCAATTTTCTCATTTATATGGCACCAATGGGTGTCAAGAACATGGGCAAGAGCACGCAAAAGGGCAGCAGCAGCAGCAGAAGCAGCAGCAGCAGCAGCAGCAGCAGCAGTTGTTTCTTGCTTTGGAAGCTGTTTGATTGCAGCAGCACGACAGCAGCACCACAGCAGCAGCAGCCACCAGCAGCAGCACCAGCAGCAGGCAGCAGGCCGCCGCAGGCAGCAGCAGGCAGCAGCAAGCATCAGTAGGCAGCAGCAGACACAAGCAGACGCAGCAGCAGTACGCGCAACGGCAGCAGTGCAGCAGCTAGCAGCACGAAAAATTATGTTTTTCAAGGATGGCACCAATGGGCGTCAAGAACGTGGGCAAGAGCACGCAAAAGGTGCACATAGCCAGTAGCTAGCAGCCAGCGCCAGTAGCAGCCAGCAGCCAGTAGCCAGCAGCCTACCAAAAATCTAGATTTTTCTAGGATTTCAGACGACACGTTAGGCACTTTTTGGGCGTGGTTCTGGCACTCACTCGTCCTTCAGAGCCCTGGTGTTTTCCCCCCCGGGAGGTGATTTTTTCGAACCTGTTTTACTGCTAGCAGCCGTCAGCAACAGAATCTATCGAAAAATTGTGTTTTTCTAGGGTGTCAGACGACACGTTAGACACTTCTATATCCGCCGACCCCGGCAGACGCAAGGGGGAGCGCGCCAGGGAATAAGACAAGCAAGTTTAGCCGCACCAGCAGCAAGAGTAGCAGCAGTGGCAGTAGCAGCGGCAGCAGCGAGTCCAGCACTAGCAGTAAGAGCAGCGGCACCAGCTAACGAGCAGCAGCCAGTAGCCAGCAGTACGCAGGCAGCAGCAGCAGTCAACATTGGATTGGATTGGATTGGATTGGAGATTTCTAGATTTCTAGCAGGATATAGCAGGATAAGAACAAGTTTTTGGTAGGATTTCAGAAGGGACGTTCCGGCCTCCGGGGAACCTGTTCTTGCGATTGATTTTGCGTCATTTGCGGCACGAAATTAGGTCGTGTTTTGCCGTTTCGGCTGTGAGCTGGCAGCAGCAGTCAACATTGGATGGATTGGATTGGATTCGATTTCTAGCAGGATAGCAGGATAGCAGGATTCGAGGGGATTTCTAGTAGGATTTCAGAAGGGACGTTCCGGCCTCCAGGGAACTTGTTCTTGCGATTGATTTTGCGTCATTTTCGGCACGAAATTAGGTGGTGTTTTGCCGTTTCGGCTGTGTTTCGAAAAAGGTGTCTGCCTGTTGGTTTCTTGCTTGAGCAGCCACAAGCCCCGGGGCAGCATGTTTTTGGAGGTTCTAGTAGGATTTCAGAAGGGACGTTCCGGCCTCCAGGGAACTTGTTCTTGCGATTGATTTGGAGGTCGTTTCGTCCTTCAGTAGCATGGTGTTTTGGTGTGGCGAAGGGTGCGTTTTGGAGGCTTGCAGCACCACCTCTAGTAGCAGCACCAGCAGCAGCAGCAGCAGGAGCAGCAGCAGCAGGCCCAGCAGCTGCAATCGCTTTGTTTTTTCCAGAATCCAGAAGGGGCGTCAAGCCCCGGGGCAGCATGTGTTTGGAAATTGTTCCGTCCTTCAGTAGCATGGTGTTTCGGTGTGGCGAAGGGTGCGTTTGGAGGCTTGCAGCACCACCTTGAGCAGCACCACCCGCAGCATGCAGCAGCAGCAGCAGCAGCGGCAGGCCCAGCAGCTGCAATCGCTTTGTTTTTACCAGAATCCAGAAGGGGCAGGCCCAGCAGCTGCAATCTCTTTTTTTTCCAGAATCCAGAAGGGACGTCAAGCCCCGGGGCAGCATGTTTTTGGAGGTCCTAGTAGGATAGCAGGATAAGAGAGGATTCTAGCACGATAGCAGGATAGGATAAGAGATGATTTCTAGTAGGATTTCAGAAGGGACGTTCCGGCCTCCAGGAGACTTGTTCTTGCGATTGATTTGGAGGTCGTTTCGTCCTTCAGTAGCATGGTGTTTTGGTGTGGCGAAAGGTGCGTTTTGGAGGCTTGCAGCACCACCTCTAGTAGCAGCACCAGCAGCACCAGCAGCAGCAGCAGCAGCAGCAGGAGGCCCAGCAGCTGCAATCTCTTTTTTTTTCCAGAATCCAGAAGGGACGTCAAGCCTCTGGGCAGCATGTTTTTGAGGGTCTTTCCGTCCTTCAGTAGCATGGTGTTTCGGTGTGGCGAAGGGTGCGTTTTGGAGGCTTGCAGCACCACCTCCAGCAGTACCACCCGCAGCATGCAGCAGGAGCAGCAGCAGCAGCAGCAGCAGGCCCAGCAGGCCCAGCAGGCCCAGCAGCTGAACTCGCTTTGTTTTTACCAGAATCCAGAAGGGACGTCAAGCCCCGGGGCACATGTTTCTGGAGGTTGTTCCGTCCTTCAGTAGCATGGTGTTTCGGTGTGGCGAAGGGTGCGTTTTGGAAGCTTGCAGCACCACCTCCAGCAGCACCACTAGCAGCATGCAGCGGGAGCAGCAGCAGCAGCAGCAGTAGCAGCAGCAGGCCCAGCAGGCCCAGCAGGCCCAGCAGGCCCAGCAGGCCCAGCAAGCCCAGCAGCTGAACTCGCTGTGTTTTTAATAGAATCAGAAGGGACGTCAAGCCCCGGGGGCAGCATGTTTTTGGAGGTCGTTCCGTCCTTCAGTAGCATGGTGTTTCGGTGTGGCGAAGGGTGCGTTTGGAGGCTTGCAGCATCACCTCCAGCAGCACCACCGGCAGCATGCAGCAGGAGCAGCAGCAGCCGCAGTAGCAGCAGCAGGCCCAGCAGCTGCAATCGCTTTGTTTCTACCAGAATCCAGAAGGGACGTCAAGCCCCGGAACAACATGTTTTTGGAGGTCGTTCCGTCCTTCAGTAGCATGGTGTTTCGGTGTGGCGAAGGGTGCGTTTTGGAGGCTTGCAGTACCAGCTCCAGCAGCACCACCAGCAGCAGCAGCAGGAGCAGCAGCAGCAGCAGGGGCAGCAGCAGCAGCAGGCCCAGCAGCTGCAATCACCAGCTCCAGCAGCAGCAGCAGCAGCAGCAGGCCCAGCAGCTGCAATCTCTTTTTTTTTCCAGAGTCCAGAAGGGACGTCAAGCCCCGGGGCAGCATGTTTTTGGAGGTCGTTCCGTCCTTCAGTAGCATGGTGTTTCGGTGTGGCGAAGGGTGCGTTTTGGAGGCTTGCAGCACCACCTCCAGCAGTACCACCCGCAGCATGCAGCAGGAGCAGCAGCAGCAGCAGCAGCAGCAGGCCCAGCAGGCCCAGCAGGCCCAGCAGGCCCAGCAGCTGAACTCGCTTTGTTTTTACTAGAATCCAGAAGGGACGTCAAGCCCCGGGGCAGCATGTTTTTGGAGGTCGTTCCGTCCTTCAGTAGCATGTTGTTTCGGTGTGGCGAAGAATGCGTTTTGGAGATTTGCAGCACCATTAGTACCGGACATAACCTGTGCATTTTATTTCGTTTCTGCGCCTTGCCACGGAATAGCACAGCACCTTGCCACAAAAAGGGGGGATAAATGGGAAGGTTTGTTTACTTAATAAAATGAATAATTTCACGAGCTCAAGACCCACACTCTGGTTGAAGTCGTCGAGGAACTGCTCAGGGGGGTGAAGGGGTTTGGTGGGTGGGTTTTCTTGCTATATCAAAATATTTTATCAAATATATTGCAGAAAAATATACATATGAAAAAGGGGAAAACCTAAAAGTGCGAAGCACCGAAGAATATTGATGCCAATTTGGTTTCATTCATTGACCATTCTTCCGGGGTCGGCGGCAGGGGCGGCAGCCCTTAAATAATTGTATATACCATTTCTATGTTATTTCTATTCCATTTCTTACCTCTGCATGGTTCTACATTTTTTTCGCGTTGCTTGGAAAATAATCCCATGCAGCAAATCCCCATAGTTCCCCAAGCGGAGCGCACCCCTTTCTGCTTTGTTTGACTTGGAACAAGGATTTCCGAACATGTGTCACTAGCCAGTTGCGATTGCAATGGTGGTGCGATTCGTGGGACGATCCCCCGAGAAACTTGCCTTGCAAGGTCAAAGCTGAGAACTTCGCAGGGTTCGCCCTCCAGCTCAGGCGAAACCCCTGCCAGGTGCTACATCAAGCGATCCGTTCCCACAAGGAATACTTAGAATGTTGAATATATGTTTATATAATTTTATATAATTTTATATAATTTATATACATCTTTACACGTCAATATACTAGTAGTGTCCTGCCGCGCCCGGGCGGAGGAGCCGAGAAAACGGGTGACCTTACAGGAATTCTACAGTAGATTATTTTGGATGGATGGTGGTAGGAACCCAAGTTTGACCCATAGCAGGCCAAATGCTTCCGTGTTGCCCAGGCCTGTTAAGTAGACGGTGGAGCCCTGAGGGATGCGTCTTTCAACCCCATGGACCACGGCCCGTCGCAAGCTTCGCTGGCGCCCGCTCAACCGAGCTATGCTCGTTATGCCAACAGCAAGGGCAAGGGCCGGTCTCTCCAGCCGCAAGTGGCAGCCCTGTTGGGCGGAGATTCTCGGTCTCGGTGCATCCGCTCGGATGGAAGGATGCAGCCATGAAAGCACCGGCCTGCTTAGGCTTGAAAGCATAGCCATGGTAAAAAGAACATGTCGCAACGAAGTCTGATGGTGTAGGCCATGGCTTAATTTGACTGCAGCTACAACAAAATGCGTTCCTCATAAGCAGGCTGAAGACCTGTAGGACACTGTAGGAGTGGCAATTAAGGAAAGCATCGGGTTCTTTCAGGATCTCGATATCGTGAACTCTTCCGTTTTGAGCCGAAGTGCAGCGGGGGGTGATTTGTGAGCCAGAATGTCAGACATCCCTCACTGCACTGCAAACATCACGTCTGAACGCACTCACAGTAACTCACAGCTTATGTTTTTTTGACAGCGGAATCATCTAGGTGAAAGCCGGCAAGGTGCGGATGCATGAAGCTCATTGGCTCCACGCCTCCTGATTTCATCTGATATATCTACACCCAATTTCATGGTTTCGCATCAATCTGTCATTCTTATATTCTTCGATCTCATGGTATCTCCTGCTAAATAGCTCCCACTCATGTCATCCTTGAAAGTTCCGAGGCTCAAAGAGACTATACGCGGTGGAGAAGCATTGTTCAGCACGGATCACTTGCTTGTAGGACACGGCATATGAGAAGATCATGCAAGATGCCGCCAGCGCTACACTGGATTGTGTGAAGCGTGCCCAAGTGACTGGGAAGAAGGTGAGATCAGCAACAAATTGAAGGCAAAGCGACAAACCTGCGGGTACCATCATCTGAGCAAGAAAAACAATGGAAAAAAAAGTGCTGCCGTCCCAACGCAGTCGAAATCAAGAAAATTGTTTGGCCCCTGCCTGCCACCAATGTGTAGGTGGATTCTGACATGGTGCCCCAAACACTGTTGGCTGCCTTAAGCACGCCCAAGGTAAAAGAAAGGCTCAGCACACCAAACAGCACCAGAGGCGCAAAGTTCGTCATGTCCAAGGACAACATCGCGCGGGCATGTTGAGGATAAGCAGCCGCAATGGGACCAAACATGATAAGGCCTCCAGGGTGGCCCCTCGGTCTAGGGGGTTCAAGTGGGATCCGGTAGCCTCCGGTGTTCACCGTTCTTCGTCTAAGTATAAGTTAACCATCCTCCTATCTGTATCTATCTGGAGGATATGCGATTTGTCCCAACTTTATTACCCGGCCTATGGTTCCAGAATACGTCAGCATCACGACATGGTGCATTTGGCTGCAGGAATTCCGTTGCTGCAGGGAACAGGTTGCTCTTGAGATCGCGGCCAAGAAACCGAAGATTGACGCCCACATCCAATGGCCTGACATGCTGCAGGCGCAAACTTGAAGGCATATTTCCAACAAAGCTGCAAAGTTTGGAAAGTGTGAATGATTGGTTCCAGAATCTCAATCAGAAGCAGAGCGCAATCAATTTTTTACTCCAAATACCCAACAGACAAACAGAAGGCAAAACCGGCAAAACCAAAAGGTTCACAGGTGATTGCCGGTGATTGCCGGTGATTGCCGGTGATTGCCGGTGATTGCCGGTGATTGCCGGTGATTGCCGGTGATTGCCGGTGATTGGTTACATCATGTTGCATCATGTATCATCATGTTGCATCCCTGCCCATGGCCACCATGGCCCATCATGGCCCATCATGGCTCATCGGCGCTGGCCTGCAATTTCATCTCCTTCAGCGCTGACAGATCCAAGAATTGCACCCAGGAGGATGACAAAGAGCAGCAGAGGTGCAGCTAGATATTCTTCGGGTTCAATGGTCTCACCTTGCTCAAGAAAAATTCATATGAAACCGCAGCTTTGTCCATCCAATAT